ATCATTTCCCCTGGAATGCAGGCACACACATCCTTTTGGCTGCTGAATGCCTGTCTCAGAGGGCTTTAGCTGTTCCTGGGTGAGCTCAGTGGGGAGGAGGCAAAGGGCCGGGGCAGCCGACCACAGAAGAGAAACAAGATCAGCACAGCTGTCCTATGAAGGCAGGGCTGAGTGACAGGGCCGGGTTTTATTCTGGTTTGGTGATGTAAGAAGGACCCCCCCCCCCCAATGGCTCTTGATGCAACAAATGGCCCAGCCGTAGTTTGCTGTTCCGACTAGATGGAGATCAGTGCTATGGGGGTGGGGGAGAACCTGGAGAAACACTTTTTTCCCCAACTGAAGAGGTGTGGGCATTTTCTTGTTTGGAATAAATGAAATTGTTTTAAAAAACAAGTTAACATCAGCGTGTGTAGTGTGAAAACATTTTATTTGAGACATGCTCCTATAGCACTAGAGAATAACTCCTTTGTACACTGTGGACATATATAACATACTTTCAAGGATATGTTCATTGTTTAAGTGGATAGTTTTGGTATCAATTAATATGCCATAGTGTACGTTAAAACATTTAGATAGTGTTTTCCATGCCTGGTTTGATTCTCATATGCGCAGTTAGTCCTATTAGTGACTGCATGAGATTATTTCTGTCTAGATAATACGAACATGAAATTGAGCCAACTTCAGAGGACAGCAGAAGACAGGAGGGCCTGGTGTGACCTGGTCCATGGGGTCGCGAAGAGTCGGACTCAACTGTGTGACTGAACAACAACAAAGATAATACAGCTTTCTTTTATTTGCTACAAAATTTGTTTTCAAAATTCAGTTTCATTCCCCTCCTCCCAGACAGCAAAATACTTGTGATAAGGTAGCACAGGGTGCAGCAGATTGCAGCTGTCTTTCAATTATTGGGTATAGTTGTCATTTAGCTTGTTTAAAAATTCCTAAAAGGATTAATATTAATTTACAGCATTTATAACCCTTTCTTTAAAAAAGTTCAAGGTGGATCACAGATTAAAACCAATCCGTGACAATAAAACTTGAATAGTAAATAATAATAGAATATTAAAATTCATAAATAGCAATAGAACATCTATAAAACAAGATTAAAATCCGTAGGCCAATTTACAAAAAAGTGCTCCTAGAAAATTCTGCCTTAGATAAGTGTGTGGAAGAACAGAAGGGTGGTGGCTCATCTAACTTCCTTTGGTAAGTTGTTCCACTGGGTAGGAGGTAAAACTGAAAAGGCCCAAGCTTAGATTGTAACAGATTTGAGAGAATTTGTTCGGATGAATGGCACAGGAAAGCGTAACTGGAGAGGCAACGCTATCGATAAAGCAACTCCTGGGCTACAGAGGGTATCATCAGTAATAACGAGCATCTAGAACTGAACCTGGACGCTAATGAAATGATGGCAACATATGAAATGACCACTCTGCCTTGATCCCAACAGTGATCGAGCTATGGCAGCTTGCACAAGGTGAAGGTTCCTAAGCAACTTTGATGGCAGTCCCATGCACAGTGTGTTACAGTAGTCTGGTCTTGAGGTTGCTGTGGTGTGGGTTTGTATGGCCGGACTGGCTGAGTCAAAGTGGGGTGCCAACCTCCATGGCAAGTGAAGAAGCAGTTTTTGTGACAGAACTCACCTGTATCTTCAGCAGCAGCACTGGATCAAATGAAACCCCCAGACACCTAACCCAATCCTCAGTGGACTGGCTGAGGTCAGTTATGGCAGAATCTGATGGTTTAGACCGAGAAAGATATAGCTGGATGTCCTTTGGCATAGTAACGAAATATGTCAAATTCGTATAGTATGCTGACAATGTTATACACCAAAGAGCCAGTTTGGTGTGGTGGTTAAGTGCACGGACTGTAATCTGGGAGAACCGGGGTTGATTCCCCAGTCCTCCACTTGCAGCTGCTGGATGACCTTGGGCAAGCCATAGTTCTGTCAGAGCTGTTCTTGAAAGAGCAGTTCATTAAAGAGTTCTCAGCCCCACCTATCTCATAGGGTGTCTGTGGTGGGAAGGGAAAGGAGTTTGTAAGCTGCTCTGAGACTCCTTCAGGTAGTAAAGGGTGGGGTATAAATCCAATCTCTTCTTCTTATAACAGATGTATTTTCTAAACCAGTAAAATAAAGTTTGGGTTTGGTTGGAAAGCAAGTATTGGTGATCCAGGGAAGTCAGCATGGATCTGTCCCCAACAGGTCCTGCCAGACCAACCTCATTTCATTCTTTGATCAAGTGACTAGCTTACTGGATCGAGGGAATGCTGTTGATGTTGTTTACCTGGATTTCAGTAAAGCTTTTGGCCTCACTTCAAAAAAGATGTGGACAGAATGGAGCGTGTGCAGAGAAGAGCGACCAGGATGATGGGGGGACCTGGAGACCAAGCCCTATGAGGAAAGGCTGAGGGGCTTGGGAATGTTTAGTCTGGAGAAGAGGAGTTGGGGGGATGATGATTGCTCTCTTTAACTATTTGAAGGGCTGTCACTTAGAGGAGGGCAGGGAGCTGTTCCTGTTGGCAGCAGAGGAGAGGACTCACAATAATGGGTTTAAATTAAGGGTGGGAAGATACCAGCTGGATATTAGAATTTTTTTTACAGTCAGAGTTGTTCAGCAGTGGAATCAGCTGCCTAGGAAGGTGGTGAGCTCCCCCTCACTGGCAATCTTTAAACAGCATCTAGACGAACACTTGTCAGGGATGCTCTAGGCCAGGGGTCCTCAAACTACGGCCCGGGGGCCACATGCGGCCCGCCGAAAACATTTATCCGGCCCGCCAGGTGTTTTTGCCACTGTCCTGTCCATATGCTGCCCAGCACAAGGGGCCCTGGCGAGCGGTAGGGGTGCCATTCCCCTCGGCGCGGCGCCGCTTCCACTTTCCAGGGCCGCAAAAGTTTGCTTTTCTCTCCAACCGCTGGGGACCTGCCAGAGGGCCAGGAGCGCCGACAGCCAGGCCGGCACGCCCGCTCTCCCTTCCCAGGGCTTGGGCGAAGGTTCCCAGTGCCAGGCGAAGGTTCTGCCCCTTTCCCCTGAAACTGTCCATGGGCTAAGGAAGAGAGACGCGAGGCTCTGCCAGCGGCAACTCCAGGCTGCACCGCTGGCTTGGGAGAAAGTCTGTCACTTCCCCTGAATACAGGCCTGGGATCGGGGTGTCAGACCACCACCACCACCACCTGCACTTCCATGCCACAT